TAAAGGGGGGAAAAAGGGGATAAACAGGTATAAAATGGGGCTAGAGGGGGAAAAAAGGGGATAAACAGGGATAAAATGGGGCTAAAGGGGGGAAGAAGGGGATAAACAGGGATAAAATAGAGCTAAAGGGGGAAAAAAGGGGATAAACAGGGATAAAATGGGGCTAAAGGGGGAAAAAGGGGGATATACAGGGATAAAATGGGGCTAAAGGGGGAAAAAAGGGGATAAACAGGGATAAAATGGGATAAAATGGAGCTAAAGGGGGAAAAAGGGGATAAACAGGGATAAAATGGGGCTAAAGGGGGAAAAAAGGGGATAAACAAGGATAAACAAGTATAAAATGGGGATAAGGGGGAAAAATGGGGCTAAACTGACAAAATTGGGGTTAAACGTGGAAAAACGAGGCTGAAGGGGGGAAGGATGGGGGTAAATGGGGATAAAATGGAACTAAGCTAGGAAAAAATGGGGTTAAAGAGAGACAAAATGGGGACAAATGAGGGGACAAAATGGGGCTCAAATGGCCATGACTGGACTAAGAACGGATAAATGGGGACAAACCAAAATTGGACCCAAAAGCGCCCAAACAGGCCCAAGCAGGGACAAATCAGGGGTAAAACAGCCCAAATGGGGCCAAATGTGGCCGAAACAGGGGCAGTGGAGGACAAAGCCCAGCTTAAACGGACAGAGGGTTAAACAGGACCCAAACGAGCCTGAAGTGGCCAAAATGAGGCTGAAATGGCCAAAACAGGGCTAAAGTGGGGACGAATGCACAAACACCCTCAATTTCTGCAGCTTTGCCCCTGAATTTCCCCAGGAGGGGTGAGATGAAGGGTCTTCAAATGCCTTTATCGGGAGGGGGGTGAGGAAACCCCTCAGGAGGAGGATGAGGAGGAGGAAGGGGGGCCCTGCCCTCCTCTCCCACAGCCCTGAGGGGATCCCGGCTGAGGGAGCGGGGTGGGAGCGGCAAAACCGGCTTTGCCACGGCCCTGGGGCGCGGGAGGAGAGCGGTGACACCCTTTGGAAGGGGTGAAGGTTTGAAGGGGTGTGAGGGGGGGGTCACCCTTTGCCCCCTCAGCAGGTCAGGCCGC